GTTTTCCCATATTTTTATCAATACTGAATATGACAACCTTTTTCATTTTTTACTAATTTGGTAAAATAAAAATGTTTTGTTATTGTTTTAATTCATATTATTCTCTTTAGTAATTTGATTTAGCAGTTTTTCATATTTGTATCATACTTTTTTGGTTTTGTTTTTTACTTCAGTTGCCTGTTCATGTAATTTGATCACTTTCCATTTTTATTTCCATTTCCATTTTATTTTATTTTTATTTCTATTATTCTATCTTCTCATTGATTTGTGGAAATTTTATTATCTTTTAAAAATAAAGTATCCATGTTTATTACTTTTTCTTATGGTATATTTTGTCATAAAAAGTAAAATTTTTTCATAAAATGTTTATATTTTTCATTATAGTTTTGAAGATTTTTGTATTTTCTCAACCAAAGTTTGTAAAAATATAACATCATTTTCTAATACATTTATAGTTTTGTTTTTTAAGTATATAACTTTGATCTGGAACTTTTAAAAGTATATTCCAAGATACATCTCACTTTAATTTTTCTAAATGATAATTAGTTTCAACATTATATATTGACTAGTTTCCCCTTTTGCCTACTGATTTGAAATATCATAATTAACACAAACTAAATTCTGATTTTTTGTTTCCCTGCCAAGCCAATAGCACTAGAGTGAATAATGTGGTAGTGAAAGAGAAATATTAAAAAAAAAAAAATAGAACCAATGTAGCTGAAAAGGTATTAGTCATACAAGTATATCATTTATTCTATTGTTCCTAGTTTTCTTAGAGTTATTTGTTTTAAATCGTTGATAGATAGTGAATTTCACTCAGCACTTGCTGAATCTGTTGAGACAATCCAAAGGTTTCATCTTTTAACCTATTAATATGACAATTTAATTTATGGTAGTAAATTGGCTTTGCATTTTAGGGTAAATTTCACTTGGTTATGATATATGTTCTAAATTCATCTGTGGGTTTAATTTGCCAGTACAAACTATAGTAAATATAGAGATATCCTGTGGACCTTGATGAAGTTAAAATTCTGTGTCAGTAGCTCTGGGGTAAAGTCCAAGAATCTGCATTTTTTAAAAAGCTCCCAAGGGGAGCCCGTGTTACAGGTACACAGACCAAACAATGAATGATAAAGCATTAATATTATGATTTCTACAACCTTTTTATATGGAAAAAAAGGTTCATATTTCTCTTTTTTTATGATTATGCTAGTTTTGTAGAATGATTAGAGACAGTTCATTTTTATTCTCTGAAATGGATATTTAAATTTGAATTGTATATACAGTACATGTTTATTAGAATGTATTTATATTTTATACAGGAGAAGATTTTTAAACCACTGATCTAATTTCTATAATGTTTATAAGACTATTAAGGATTTCTATTTCCTTCCAAGTATTGTTTGGGTTGCATCCCACAAGATTTAGTAGAGTTTATAATTTTCCATTTTAGAATATATTCTAATTCCTATGTGAATGTGATAGTGGCCCTTGGATTATTAGAAAAGTTTTTTTTTTATAATTTCCCAAAGTACAGCTATTTCTAGTTCTTTTCATTATTGAGACCTCATTTAATTTCACCATAATCAAGAAATATGGTTTGCTTGGTGCCTAGTCTTTCAAATTTAAAGTTGTTTTATGGCCTATGCATGATCAATTTTTGTATATGTTTCACATGGACTTGTGAAAAAGGATATATATTCTTCTTTTGCTGCATGTAACATTCTAAATATTGGTATGTCAATGAATGATGTTAGCTGTGTTGTTCAAGTCATCTAGGGCCTCACTAGTTTTTGCCCACTTGATCGATCAATTACTGAGAGTGTTAAATATCTCCCACTATATGGTGGGTTTGTACCTTTCTCCTTCTTGTTTTGCCAGTTTTTAATGGTGTATGTTTTTGAAGCTACGTTCTTAGGACTATACAAGTTTAGAATTGTTAGATCCTCCCTGTAGCATCAAAATCAGTAAAGTATTCTGAATGACTCTCTTATTCTCTCAAAATTATTCTCTCCTTAGTTAATTTGTCTATTAATATAGCAAGTGTAACATTTTAAAAATTAGTATTGGTCTAGTACATTCTTTA